AAACTTGTGTTTTTCCAAAGTGATGAAGCTTTTGCATCTCATTGTACTAACTTAAATTGCATATCACGGCAGACATCTCAAAATACATAGTCTTCTGGGGGCTAAGCATATATTAATACATTTTGGTAGAGAGGAATATAGGACTACTGTCATATAGGTTATGTTATCGGGCATCCTTCTAATTCTCTTGAACAACCAAGATTGAACTTTTGAACTCTTTATAATTTCTATTATCTAGTCCAGTTAAAGTCCAGGGGAGGAAGCCCCATCATAGTAAAGAGGATACTAATGTGATGTGTGTAGTTCTTCATAGCCTCTTCATTTTGCTCTCAAAGTGCACGGAATTGATGGATTTTTAACAGAATGTAGAAAAAAATTTTCCCGGGGGGGCATACCCCCGGACCCCCCTAAAGGGGCTGTATTCCCCTTGGGGCTAAGCCCCCCTTGTTCTTGAAACCTAGTGACGCCCCTGGTGAAGACTTTAACTTGTTCGTAGGTGTAAATGTGACTATGAATGTTGTTTGTCTAATTGTGCCCTGCGATTGGCTAGTGGCCAGTTCGGGTTGTATAGCCCATGCATCACTCAAAGTCAGCTAGGATAAGCTGAAGCACACCCCTCGTGAAGTGATAAAGTATATGGTTGGAGGGATTTCAAACTTGATCAACACTCCCTGTTCTGTTAGGTTGTCTGAAGGTCAAAATGTTCAAATGTATGTTGCCCAAAACAAATGATGGACATACGGTATGATGATGGCATAGTCTGCTGGTCAGACAGCATCTCAGCCCGGGACAGAGAGAGACTCGACCGACTGGTCAGGAGGGCTAGCTCTGTCCTGGGTTGCTCCCTGGACACTCTGGAGGAGCTGGGCAACAGGAGGATGCTAGCCAAGCTAAAAGCTATGATGGACAGACCCTCCCACCCCCTTCAGGCCACCCTGACAGCACTGGGCAGCTCCTTCAGCCAGAGACTAATAAACCTGCGCTGCAAGAAGGAGAGGTACCGCCACTCGTTCCTGTCGACTGCTGTCAGGCTATTGAATAGATGGTCCTGAAAACCTGGACTCACCCCCACTCACCCATTTTTAATATATTGTATTTATATTTTATATTTTATATTTATATGTATTTATATACTTCTATTTTCTCCCTTTCATAACTTTGCTGCTGTAAATTGGGAATTTCTCCATTGTGAGACAAATAAAGGTTTTCTTATCTTAATAGGTGATAAGGGGTGTTGATATTTTGCCATCTGAAACCATTCAAATTCTACACATGCTAAAACATTTCAATATTCAGGTAAATACAGTCAGCAGTTCCATTTTACTCTTTTTTTCCATTTAAAACATTCCACATGGATATAAACAAAGAGTAGCCTTCTCGGTGATCTGGACAATTATTAAAAAAAAAAAAGATTTGGAATTGCACAAAAGGCACCAAGGAACCTATTTACAATTTCTTGGTATCTTGGAGTTGACTTACCTCCATAAAGTGAATTCTCCTGGGTCAGTGCTCGGTGTCTCGTATTATGTTCTTTGGTTGGTGGCACTGATTATTAGGCCAGTACATCACGGTGAACAAGTGCAGCAACAACAGGAGAGGCTTGACCCAGGAGAGGCTTTAGAACTCGATATACTGAGCTTTGTTTGAGCAAGGATCCGCTGATCTGAAAATAGTTTGACCTCATCTGACTGCAATAATAGCCAGTGTATGCTTCCCAAACAGACTGAAACTGTAAAAACATGCCAATTGGGATCGTATGCAACGTTGTAAACTGACATGTTGGAAAGTGTAAAGAATTGTATTGCCATATTTTGCCAAGAGATTACCACTGAGGATATTGCCTATGGCAAACAAAGTAACACCGTGTTCGATGATTCAAAGACAAGCAATGTAATTAATTATTTTATTTTTTTTAATCATCATGTTTTTGTTAATTGTCACGATTAAGACTCACCGAATAGCCAAAAAGTGGTTGATGACACAGCCCACCATAAAGAACAGAGTGGAAAGAAAAAAACAATGAAAATAATCGAAATAAGTAGTACCGTATTTTTAATCACAATAAGTCTCAGTTTTTTTTCATAGTTTGGCCGGGGGTACGACTTATACTCTGGTGCGACTTATGTGTGAAATTATATATATATATATATATATATGTATATATATATTAAAAAAGTCAGTGAGAGAGAAGCCTGGCCCGACCTGACCTGAAGCAATGATTAACATTTTAGGCCCGACCCGACCCGAGCCGGCTCGGGCTTAAGATCTTACCTCTAGTAGGTATACATCACCATAAATTTCAGACTGGTGAATTTCACCAAATTACAAACATCAGACAGATTCGGCAGAGGACACGAAGAAAGGGCAGGAGCAAGACACACACTCACATGCAGACATGACAACCCCTCTTGTCCTAAATCAGATAGGATTAGCACCAGCTTCCTCTGAACACGATACATGGTTTTGAAAAGTGATGAAAAGTGACTTTCCATATTTTCAAACTTTCACTCTGTGTCTTTGGGTTGAAGTGAATCAGGATATGTGTGTGTGTGTGTGTGTGTGTGTGTGTGTGTGTGTGTGTGTGTGTGTGTGTGTGTGTGTGTGTGTGTGTGTGTGCGCCCGTGCGTGCGTGCGTGCATGTGTGTGTTCCTTTTTATGTGAGTACATCCTCGAGCAACTCAACAGCAAAGGGACCTATGCAAGGATCCTGTTTGTGGATTTCAGCTCTGCGTTCAACACCACCATCCCGGAACTCCTCACCCACAAACTTCTCCAGCTTGGTGTGTCCCCTACGATCTGCCAGTGGATCCTCAGCTTCCTGATGGGACGGACACAACAGGTGAGGCTGGGAAGGACATCATCAACACGCACCACCAGCAGTGGAGCCCAGCAGGGATGCGTCCTCTCTCCACTGCTCTTCTCCCTCTACACGAATGATTGCACCTCAACACACCCAGTCGTCAAACTCAAAGTTCCCAGATGACACCACAGTCATCTGTCTCATAAAAGATGGCGACGAGTCTGCGTACCGACAAGAAGTGGAGCAGCTGGCACTCTAGTGTAGCCAACACAACCTGGAGCTGAACACGCTCAAAACGGTAGAGATAATGGTCGACTTCAGGAAACATCCTTCACCACAGCTGCCTCTCACACTATCCAACTGCCCTGTGTCAACCATCGAGACCTTTAAGTTCCTGGGAATCACAGTCTCCCAGAACATGAAGTGGGAGGTCATCACCAACTCCATCCCGAAAAAGGCCCAGCAGAGGATGTACTACCTGAGGCTGCTGAGGAAGAATGGCCTGCCACAGGAAGTGCTAAGATAGTTCTACACGGCAGTCATCGAATCAATCCTGTGTTCTTCCATCCCGGTTTGGTTTGGAGCCCCCACAAATTTCTCTCTCTCTCTCTCTCTCTCTCTCTCTCTCTCGACAGATAGATAGATAGATAGATAGACATCCTTTCCAGCCAACGGCAGTAACATACACTATATTGTGTACGATAAATGTCTCTTCCATGAAGTAGCCAATTATGAAAAGCATTGAAGGATGAGGTTACAAGAAGTGTTTATGCCACCGATGAATAGTTCTCAAGACTTTTATGACAGCTGGTCGTGTGCAGGTCTGACAGATGGAGACTTTTAAGTCTCTTGACTGCTGGTGAGAAAAGTCATCTAAGAAGAATCAAAGCAGAGAGGTGATAGAGTTAGCAGGCCCTATTATGCCAAAACTAGTGATGTGCCCGACTGTGCCGAGGTACCGATGCGTGTGCCGAGTAAACCGGAAGAAAATCCGCGAAGCGCGCACTGAGGCGCGCGTCGATTACGCCTGCGGCCCCGCC